TTATTATTATTATTATTATTATTATTCTCACTGGCTGAAGGTTGACTCAGCCTTCCATCCTTCCCAGGTTGGTAAAATGAGGACACAGATTGTAGGGGACAATATGCTGATTCTATAAACCACTTAGAGAGGGCTGTAAAGTGGGGTGCTTTATTTTACTTAAATTAATCTGGGTGCTATTGCTGTTATTCGATGGATTGGCAGCTAGAGAGCAGTTGCTTTGAGGAAAAGAGCAGGATCAGATTAAAAGGGAACATGGGAAAACTCCCCCTTTTTCAGCATCAGAATTCTTGGGGCAGCCTTCTCTTATTTTTCCTCTCTCTTTTGCCTACTGCTTTGAAAGGTGGTCCCAGAGGAACTAATTCTATTTTATTATAAGGCTACATTAATACCATGTTTTCCCCAAAATAAGACCCTGTCTTATATTTTTTTGAACCCTGAAATAAACCCTAGCCTTTTTGCCATGCGCTCAAAAGCCCGATTGGCCTTATTATCAGGGGATGTCTTATTTTGGGGGAAACAGGGTAGAATCTTACAATTCTAAATTTCTCCCCCATTGACTTTTATGGGCCAAGATACTAGGGAGGGTTCTTACCAAGGCCGTTTAACACTGGGATCCTTCCTTCAACTCATCTGTCTTCTTACACCCACTTTACAACATAAGGTGGCAATCTTGAGTCAACCTGAGTGTTATCAGATGACACACAGTACCTTCTGCAGGAAATACGCTCTTTGAACCATATCCTGTGGTTTGTCTTCCTTTTACCGTCAAATTTAGATGCCGTAAGAAAACTTATTTGTGAACGAGAAGAGTTGTATAATCTTTCACAGCCAAGTTGGCAGGGAAGCTCTGAAGGTGACCGTACCATCCTTGAAGTCCTGCAAAGGGGTGATAATAACCCATTCCTTATCTGGAAAAATGTGGCTGTGGCATCTGTTCATCATCTTCGTCATCTCACTTTTAAGTAGGTATTTATTCTTCACTATTTCACTAGGGATGCAGTGGCTCAGTGGCTAAGACACTGAGCTTGATGATCGAAAGGTCGGCAGTTCAGTGGTTCGAATCCCTAGTACTGCGTAGTGGGGTGAACTCCCATTACTTGTCCCAGCTTCTGCCAACCTAGCAGTTCGAAAGCAGGTAAAAAATGCAAGTAGAAAAATAGGGACCACCTTTGGTGGGAAGGTAACAGCATTCCAAGCACCTTTGGTGTTTAGTCATGCCTGTCACATGATCACGGAGACGTCTTCAGACACTGCTGGCTCTTCGGCTTTGAAATGGAGATGAGCACCGTCCCCTAGAGTCAGGAACGACTAGCACATATGTGCAAGCGTAACCTTTACCTTTACCTATTTTAGATTATAGGTTTTGACTGGCCATATCTTGAATTGTTCAGGTTCCTTGAACTCTGGTAGAATAGGATCCCCTGGAAGATATTTGGGACATTGGTATTAAACCATCTGCAAGGAATTTCAAGAACAACGATGGATGTAATTGGATGGAATAGAGATTGCATGTTTGTGTGAGTGCTTGTGTTCAGTGTGCTTGGTGGTGGACATGATGGAAAAAATATAAAGCCGAGAAGGAATTTTTCCAGATTATCCCTCATAGTTAGCATTAATGTGTGTAGACACCAAAAAAGTAAGTCCAAGCAGCACCAAGGTTGTTTCTGAAAAGAGGAAGAAGGTCCTATTTGTCCTATTACTCTAACTAAACTCATGCCTTCTCCATTCTTTTCTGTCCAGGAGGAAGCACAGGACAGTCGTTGAAGCAAACATCTGGCATCATGACTGTTACTGAAGGACAACCTATTTCTCTCCATTGTTCCTATGAAGCACCATCCAGTAGCATAAATTTCCCATTTTGGTACATTCAGCATGCTGGTCAGCCTCTAGAGATCTTGTTGAATGAATTTGACAAGAAGGCCCAAGGTTTCCAGGCAACTCACAATAAAACTGGTCAAAAGGGGACTTTCAACATGCGGAAACAAGCCATCCGGTTGAAGGACTCTGCTGTCTACTTCTGTGCCTTCAGAAAGACACAGTGAGAGGAAGCAGAAGGGGAGCCAATCAAAAACAGGAGAAAAGGTATTAAGAGCTACCTTTCTCAATTAGTTCCTATGAAGCACAATTGAGTGTGTGCAATTTTGCACACATTAGTACATTCAGAACCCCAGTCAGCTTTTGAAGCTCTAGTTGATATGGTATAAAGATGACCCTCGTTCTGTCCTGTACCTTGGAGTACTCATTTCAAATGATCTAAGTGCCAGAGCTCACTGTAACAGCATTACCAAAAAGGCATTAAGAGTTGTTAACCTAATCTTGCATAGCTTCTTCTCCGGTAATATAGAACTGCAAACTAAGGCATACAAAATTTTTGCTAGACCAATTCTTGATTACAGCTCATCTGTCAGGAACCCACACTGCATATCGTACATTAATACAATCGAACAAATCCAGAGATATTTCACGAGAAGAGTCCTCCACTCCTCTGCTCGCAACAGAATACCTTATCTCACCAGACTTGAAATTTTGAGCTTAGACAACTTAGAACTTCACCGTCCGAGCTAAGCGTAGTACATAAAATTATCTGCTACAATGTCCTACCTGTCAATGAATACTTCAGCTTCAACCCTCACATAGAGAGGGCCTACTTGGGGTTCCGTCAGCCAAGCAATGTCGGCTGACGGCCCCTAGAGAGTGAGCCTTCTCTGTAGGCGCACCTACCCTCTGGAATCAGCTCCCCTTTGAGCTTCGGGTGGCCCCCGATCTTCGCTCTTTCCACCGTGACGTTAAAACATGGTTGTTTTGCCAGGCTGGCCTGGACTGAAGGGGTTTTAACGGGAATTTTAGATTCTTTTATTGTTTGAATTTTAATTTGGACTTGTTGTTGCTTATTGCTGTGAGCCGCCCTGAGTCCTTGTGGAGAAAGGACGGCATATAAGTCTGATAAATAAATAAATAAATTAACCAAAACAACACACGAGCACACAATAGATACAAACTTATGATAAAATGCTTCAAACTTGATTGCAGAAAATATGACAGGTAGTGCATTCCAGAATGCCTGGAATGCACTACCTGACTCTGTGGTTTCTTCCCCAAACCCCCCAAAACTTTAACCTTAAACTGTCTACTGTTGACCTCATCCCATTTCTCAGAGGTCTTTAAGGGGCATACATAAGTGCATCAGCATGCCTACCAAACATGTCTTAATGTTCCCTTTTATTCATATTTCATTTCATGTATTCATAATCAAGTTTATACTTATATCTGTTATCTAATACATGCTTGATGAAAATAAATAAATAAAAATAAATAAAATAAATGATGTCCAACACTACTCGCCATGAAGGAAAGAAAAATGGGACTTACAATTAAGAAGAGCCATGGTGGCGCAGTGGTTAGAATGCAGTTTCATAGGCTACTTCTGCTGACTGCTGGCTGCCAGCAGTTCGATTCTCACCCGCTCAAGGTTGACTCAGACTTCCATCCTCTGTAAAATGAGGACCCAGATTGTTGGGGGCAATATGCCGACTCTGTAAACCACTTAGAGAGGGCTGTAAAATCATTGAGAAGGAGTATAGAAGTCTAAGTGCTAGTGCTATTGCTACAATCTAGGGAAAGATGCCAGTCAGTGAAGGAGTCTGCTGTCTGTTTTTCTTTTTCTTTTTGTTAATTTTCAAAAAACCTTTATTAAAGTTTAAAATATTAAAATACTAATACAAATACAGCTGTAACAAAATACGTCCATGATAGTTCAACATCATTCCAACAGTACACAAATCTTAACTCTACTCATATATTCTCAGATATTCCTTTTTGATCAAATATATCTGTAAACACAATTTACGTCTTAGTCTGATCTGTATATTTCCTATTTTTATTTTCTATCCATTGATACCAGTTTTCCCAGGTTGAGTAACATTCCGAGTCTTCCTTGTTATTTAATTCTATAGTAAGTTTGTCCATTTCTGCACGCTCAAAAATTTTCTGGATGATTACACAATCTGTCGGTGTAGTGGACATTTTCCAGGCTTGTGCGAGTACAATTCTTGCTGCTGTAATAATATGAACGATCGATAGAATAGAATAGAATAGAATAGAATAGAATAGAATAGAATAGAATAGAATAGAATAGAATAGAATAGAATGCAGACTGGAGTGTGGAGTGGAGTGGAGTGGAGTGGAGTGGAATAGGAATAGGAATAGGAATAGGAATAGGAATAGGAATAGGAATAGAATAGAATAGAATAGAATAGAATAGAATGCAGACTGGAGAGTGGAGTGGAATGGAATAGGAATAGAATAGAATAGAATAGAATAGAATAGAATAGAATAGAGTAGAGTAGAGTAGAGTAGAGTAGAGTAGAGTAGAGTAGAGTAGAGTAGAATAGAATAGAATAGAATAGAAAGAGAAATAGAATAGAATAGAATAGAATAGAATAGAATAGAATAGAATAGAATAGAATAACAGGATTGGAAGGGACCTTGGAACTCTTCTAGTCCAACCCCCTGCCCAGTCAGGAAACCCTACACCACTTCAGACAAATGTTTATCCAATATCCAATATTAAATCTTTTTATAATATTTTCCCTTAATGATCCCCAGAAGAAACAGTTCAGGCTTCAATTCTATTGGCAATGTGTAATTTCATTAAACCATTTTTGTATTTTAATCCAGTATGCCCAGAAATCTTCTGTCTGTTTCCGTGCCTTCAAAGACACAGTGATATGACACAGAAAGGGAGCCAATCAAAACATGAGAAAAGAATTTAGAAGAGTGACAGGGCAAATTTGCATTCGTGGCACTTGCACTCCCAAAATCTTCTCAAGGCTGAAAATAGCTCCAGATCTCCTTGTCCATCATACCAGCTGGGCCAGAGAAATAGTGTTTTGTTGCCAATTGAAACAAACATGCTATAATCAGCATTTTCTTTTCTTTCTTTTCCCACCCGATGTTCTGCAATTTGGTTTCCCCTTGACATTATTTTTCTGGGGGACAGAAGGAAATGTTGCCTAATATCTGGAATGTCAAGAGTTTGTTCCAAAAATCAAATCCAGAAAGCACACAGAGGCAGACTTAATGCAGAAAGATTCATTTTCTTTATATACACAATAATACATGAAGTAAATGTACAACACTGATGTAGAAGATTCTTCCGATGTAGCAATTACAAGCAAAACATAAGGCAGGGGAGAACAGTTAGTTTCATTTCAGCAGAGATGCAAGTCCAGACTGGTTTCAGTTTCGTTTCTCAGCACAGCACAGAGCTGAGCCACGCCCTGCCTCCAAACTGTTTCAGCTCCCATTGGCTGACTTCGTTGCTATGCCTATTCATTGGCTGACCTTGTTACCATGCCTCTGCCAGTTCATGAATAATATGACATGGAAGACCTTATCTCCATAGTTATGCAAGGAAGGATCTCATATCGTTTAGGTGACAGGAGTTGTAAATTGGCTATGCAGAAGAGCTTCGAATGTAGGGAATTCATCTTTCCATTTTAACCAGTTGTGACTAAAATGACTAATCCCAACTCATATTTCGTATCATGGAGATTATCTATCTATCTATCTATCTATCTATCTATCTATCCATCTATCCATCCATCATCTATCCATCTATCCATCTATCCATCTATCCATCTATCCATCTATCCATCTATCTATCTATCTATCTATCTATCTATCTATCTATCTATCTATCTATCTATTTCATTCTCTCTCTTTCTCATCTATTTATAGTCCCAATTCCCTCCCTTTCATCTCACCAACAGTGTCGAAAATCACCTTCAACATTTGAATCCTTCCTTCAACTCAGTTGCTTCCTTACATCTGTTTTAAAACACAGGGTGGCAGTCTTGAGACAAAATGAGTCTTACCAGCTGATACACATACACGTTATCTTCTGTAGCACCTATGCTGTGCGTGAACCATATTCTATTGTTCCTCTTCCTTTTGTCACCGGTCCAACAGCCAAGTTATTTTGTGAAGAGAAAGTGTAGAATCTCTCATAGCAAAGGGAAGCTCTGGAAGTGACAACACCAGCTTTGAAGTTCTCCAAAGGATATTTTTTTGATATTTTCGTACTGCATTATTCACCTGGGATAATGTGGCTGAGGTCTCTGCTCATCATCATCATCACCATTTCACTATTAAGTGAGTATTTATTTTTTCACAATGTTAGACTACATGTCAAACCTGGAAACCATCGTTTCTTGTTGAGCTTCGGGGCTGCCACATTTAGCGACACTACAGTTTTCGACCGGGCATAACTTCTGTTGTTTGGATTCCTTGAAATCAGGTAAAATAGAATCCCCTGGAAGATTTCTGGGGAATTGGCCATAAATTATCAGCAAGGAATTGCAAGAGCAAGAACAGAAGTATTTAGCTGGAAAAGTGATTGTGTGTGTGTGTGTGTGTGTGTGTGTGTGTGTGTGTGTGTGTTTGTGTTCATGTTCAGTGGGTCTTGTGGTGGGTCTGATGGAAAGAATACAAAACTGGGCAAGGTAATTTTTCCAGGTTCGATCTCAAAATCAGCATGGATAACGTGCGGACACTAAGAAAATAAGTCCAAGAAGCAGCAGGGTTATTCCTGAAAAGTGGGTGAAAGATCTACTTGTCAACCTCTCCAACTAATGTCATGTCTTCTCCATTTTTTTCTGCCCAGGAGGAAGCACAGGACAGTCGTTGAAGCAAACATCTGGCATTGTGACTGTTTCTGAAGGACAAGCTATTTCTCTCAATTGTTCCTATGAAACACAGTATGGTGGCAGATACATATTCTGGTACATTCAGCACCCTGATCAGCCTCTGAAGCTCTTGTTGTCGGTGTATGAAAATTATGGCCCAGGATTCCATGCTATCCACCTCAAAGGAGATAAAAATGGGACTTACAATTTAGAGAAAGGGGCCAGTCAGCTGAAGGACTCTGCTGCCTACTTCTGTGCCTTCAGAGACACAGTGAGAGGAAGCAGAAGGGGAGCCAATCAAAAACAGGAGAAAAGGATTAAGAGTCGAGACAGGACAATTTTGCACTTGTGGCACCTGCACTTCTGAAATCTTCTCAAGGGTCAAAATAGCTCCAGATCTCCTTGTCCAACATATCAGCGGGGCCAGAGAAATAGTGGGTTTTTTTTGCTAATTGAAGTAAAACTACTATAATCCTCATTTCTTTTCTTTCTTGTTTCTGATGTTTTGCTATTCAGTTTGCCCGTAACATTATTCCTCTGACTTTTTGAAATCTTTTAAGAGACTCACTTCTGCTTGTTGATTGAGCTTCCCAGAAATTTGAGAACTGGGAGTAACAAGATATTATTACTATATACCAGTGGTGAAATCCTCTGTGTTTTGCCACCGGTTCGCTGCCTATGCAGGCGTAGTGTGCAAACACGCGCTGCCCACACACATGTGCAGTGCGTGCCAAACGCATGTTGCGCACACACATGCAAAGTGCATGCCAAACACATGCTGCATGCGTGCATGCACAGTGCATGCCAAATGCGTGCTTCATGTGGAAAAAGGAGGTAAGTAGAACAGTGAAGTGGGGGACAGCTGTGCTGCTCGATTGTCGGAAATACTGGTTTGGACGAACTGGTAGCTTTTTTTTTACTACCGGTTCCCCCAAACCGGTGCGAACCGGTAACATTTCACTCCTGTTATATGCACAACAATATGAAACCACACCTTCCGGGTTTACTGGTGTTGGTCTTCAGTTTCCCAAGAACTCAGAACTGCTGTAATGTATTGTCATGGTCTATGTTTGGATCCATGGTGTCATTGAAAGATGAAAATTTTGTCAATGTGTAGATTTTCTAAGTGCCATCAAAGATTGTCCACTAAGACCTATGTCCTGGTGAATGCCTGGACCACCACTGACTGGCTATGATCTAATTTTTCCACTTCAGTTTCCAGTTCTTGAATTATTATTCTTGAATTATTATTCTTTGATGGGCTAGCTGCTCGATATTGATCGCTGAGATGAAAAGAGCAGGATCCGATTAAGAAGGAAGGTGAAAATTTCCCCTAATTTTTTTTTTCACCAGAAGAATTTTGAGGCATTCTTTCCTTGTTTTTCCTCTACTTATGTCTACTTGCCTTGCAACGTGGTGCAGACAAGAAGTACAACCAGATAAACTAATTTTACATTATTATAGGGCTACATTAACTGGATCTTGCAGCACTAAATGTACATTTCTCCCCCAATGCCTCTACAGGCCAAGAAACTAGTGAGGGTCCATTTCCAAGGACCTTCAACACTGGGATCCTTCTTTCAACCCAGTTGGCTTTTTTCACCTACATTAAAACACACAGTATCAATCTTGAGATAAATGATCTTACCAGAGACTTACCTGACAATGACTTTTAGTAGACACATGATTGTTACCTTAGTCTGATGGTTCCCCTGGGACATGGGTCAGCAACCTGTGGCTCCAGAGCCGCATGCAGCTCTTTGGACCCTCTGCTATGGCTCCCTGTCAGGTGATCCCACCACTGGCTGGCCCCACCCCTTGCCCTCCCCTCCCAGTCACTCCTTGCCTGGCCTGAGAAGGTAAGGGAGACGGCGGGGGATGGAGAAGCGGCCAGGACAGAGACAGAGAGATACAGAGAGAGGGGGAGAGAGAGAGACATAGAGAGATACAGAGAGAGAGGGAGAGGGGGGAGAGAGGGAAGGAGGGGAGAGAGAGATATGTCAAAAGGATTTTGTGGTTCCTATTGTTTTTTAACAACTGGTTCTCTACCCTAATGATTGGCTGGGTAGGCGTGGCTAGGGGGGTCATGTGACTGGTGGAAGTGAGTGACATCAAGTTGGCCACGCCCACCAAGGTTTTGTGGCTCCCGGTGTTTTCTTTTTTGTGGGAAATGAGTCCAAATGGCACTTTGAGTATTTAAGGTTGCAGACCCCTGCCCTGGGATTATGGTCCTTGCATATAGTTGGACTTGCATCCAAATCAACCTTGTAATGGTGATGTGAAAAATTATATATATATATATATATATGCATAAAGTTTTTTATTATTTAACATTTCAAAATTTCATTTTCAATTAAACAGTGTGCTGTCTGTGTATACATAATTTGACAGATAATAATCATAACGTTTACAACGATATTCATTACATTGATATTAATTCTATAATAACAAAAATAATAATCATAATATTTACTTCTTTATTTGAACAAATCTCCCTTATTTCATTAATCTTTTTCTTATATTTCCAACTTCTGTTTTTGTTATCTAACCATTGATAAAATAAATCCCGTATCATAAAATATTCAGTTTGTTCCTTTTCCTTAATTGCAAGTGTTAATCTATTCATTTCTGTACATTCTAATATTTTTTTCAATCACATTTTCCTCTGTAGGGATCTCTTCACTTTTCCATTGTTGTGCAAATACAATTCTGGCTGCAGTTTATAGAGGCAGGATCAAATATCTATTCCCCTTATTATAATTATAATTTATTTATATAATAAAATTATATTAACCCCTCTAGATATCTTGGGCTAGAAGTTCCTCAGCATTTTATACCAAGAAGAATGACTATCTGGGCTGGGAAATGAGCAAATGTTACCTAACCATCTGGATGCATTGGTCTCCACAATCATGGCAGAAAACATTTTCATATCATGTAGGTGATTGCATTGTGAATTCTCCATCCAGAAGAACTTTGAATGTTAGGATTCAACTTTCCATTTTCATCATTTCAGAGTCCGAAATGATTCTTTCTAGCTCATATTTCATATTATACACACAGATTTCTCTCTCCTATTCATCCTCCCAGTTCCTTCTCCTTTCACCTGGTCAATAATATTTTTTTTTCTTTCAGAAATCACCTTCAATATTGGCATCCTTCCTTTAAAGGAGCTGCTTTCTTATACCTACTTTAAAACACAGGGTGGCAATCTTGACTCAACATGAATCTTGCCAGTTGACACCTATGATATCCTCTGTAGGCACATATGTTCAGTGAATCACATTCTGTGGTTTCTCTTCCTTTTGCCACCAAATTTACATATGAGAAGCCAATCTCTTTGTGAAAGGAAAGAGCTGTTCAGTCTCTACATCTCTTTTAGACAAAAGCTGGCAGGGAAGCTCTGAAGGTGAGCTTCGAAATCATCCAAATAATTTTTTGAGGGTAGTACACCCCCATTCTTCATTGGGGAAAAATGTGGCTGTGCCTTATGTTCATCATCATCATTTCACTTTTAAGTAAGTATTTATTTATCCACAGTGATAGAATATAGATTTTTGGCTGGGCATATCTTGAGTTTGTTAAGATTCCTTGAAATCAGGTAGAATAGGATACCCTGGAAAATATCTGTGTGATTGTCAGTAGACTTTTTTGCAAGGAATATAAATGACCAAACAGAAAGATTCAGCTGTAATGAAGCTTGTGTGGTTGATGGTGGGCATAATGCAAAGAATATAAAACTGGGAAGGAATTAGTCCAGGATAACCCTCATAGGTATATTTGCAGACATTAAGAAAGTAGGTTCAAGGGTCAGAAATGTTAAATTTACGCAAGCACAAAATCTGAGAGAGAATTTTTATAAAATGTTTTATAGATGGCACTTAGATCCTAAAAAATTATCATGTATGTACTCGAATTTGCAAGCTAAATGTTGGAGATGTGAATGTAATGATGCAACCTATTCTCATATATGGTGGACCTGTAAGAAAATCAAGGCATTTTGGATAAAAATTTGGTGGGCGATGCAGAATATTCTGAAAAGAAGGTTGAAATTTACTCCTCAATTGTTCCTATTGGGTATAACGACGGACTGTACAGTATCAGAGACTAAATTGATTTTGAACTTAATATCAGCAGCTAGGCTGTTGGTAGCTCAATATTGGAAGAAGGACTCTTTGCCTACTATTGAAGAGTGGATATTGAAAGTAACAAACCTAGTAGAAATGGCGAAAATCTCAGCATTCTTGAAGGACCACATGCAAGAAAGATACATATCGGAATGGAGAAGATGGATTGATTATATTCAAAATAAGTATCAGACAAGAAAATATCAAATAGCTTATGAATGAATGTTACTATTAGAAGTATTAGGTTATCTATAGTGGAGTTAAGGTTTCAGGGGGGGAGTTAGTACTTTGAGGATAAGTAAATTAATCTAGTTTATGATTGATTAAATGAAATACCTTGTATTTTGCTCTGGGAAGTCTGGGGGGAGGGTGGGATGAAAGGGGGGAAAGGGTGGGGGGGAACATGGGGGGGGAAATTTTTGTACTTCTTTTTCGTAAAACTTTTCAATAAAAGAAAAAAAGAAAGTAGGTTCAAGAGCCTTGATAGCACAGTGGTTTAGTGCACCCTGTTATTAACACAGCTGCCTGCAATTTCTGCTGGTTCGAATCTCTCCAAGGCTCAAGGTTGACTCAGCCTTCCATCCTTTCTAAGGTAGGTGAAATGAGGACCCAGTTTGTGGGGGCAATAAGCTGACTTTGTATAAAATATACAAAAGAATGAAGGCTATTGCTTAACGCATTGTAAGCCGCCCTGAGTCTCCAGAGAAGGGCGGCATATAAATCAAATTAAAAAAAAAAAAAAAGCACCAAGGTTGCTTGACAAATAACGCAGAAAAATCTACTCGTCCACCTCTCCAATTAACCTCAGGCCTTATTTTCTGTCCAGGAGGAAGCACAGGACAGTCGGTGAAGCAAACATCTGGCAGTCTAACTGTTGCTGAAGGAAAGCATCTGTCTCTCAGTTGTTTCTATGAAACACAAATTAGTACCACAGTTTTTACATATTGGTACATCCAGCACCCTGGTCAACCTCCGAAGCTCTTGTTGACGGAGTTTGAAAATTATAGCCAAGGGTTCATTGCTGCTCACTCCCAAGAAAAGAAAAATGGGACTTATGATTTAGAGAAAGATGCCAGTCAGCTGAATGACTCTGCTGTCTACTTCTGTGCCTTCAGAGACACAATGAGAGAAAGCAGAAGGGGAGTCAACCCAAAAGTATTAAGAGTAGAGACAAGGGAAATTTGCATTTGTGGCACTTTGAAATTCTTCTCAAAGGGTGAGAAGAGATCCTGATCTCCTCATGGGACCAGAGAAGTAATCCCTCCCCCATTGAATTAAATCTAGCCCTCATTATTAGCCTAAATGTTTGCAGACATCAAGAAAGTTGGTCCAAGTAGCACCACGGTTATTTCGCAAAAGAAAGAGAAGGACGTACTTGTCCATCTTTCCAACTAACCTCCTTCCTTCTCCATTATCTTCTTTCTAGGAGGAAGCACAGGACAGTCAGTGAAGCAAACATCTGGCATTGTGACTGTTGCTGAAGGACAAACTGTCTCTCTCAATTGTTCCTACGAAGTACAGTTCAGTGGCATGAATTACCCCTTCTGGTACCTTCAGCATCCTGGTCAGCCTCCGAAGCTCTTGTTGACCAGTTTTAACAAAAATGCCCAAGGATTCCAGGCTACTCAAGACGAACACGATAAAAAGGGGACTTTCAACATGCAGAAACAAGCCATTGAGTTGAAGGACTCTGCTGTCTACTTCTGTGCTTTCACAGACACAATGAGAGGAAGCAGAAGGGGAGCCAATCAAAAACAGGAGAAAAAGAATTAAGAGCAGAGACAGGACAATTTTGCAATAGTCAAGGAGTTGGGCCACTTGTCCATGCGGAAATCTTCTCAAGGCTTGATAGTACAGTGGTCTACGCACCCTGTTATTAACACAGCTGCCTGCAATTTACTGCTGGTTCGAATCTTTCCAAGGCTCAAGGTTGACTCAGCCTTCCATCCTTTCTAAGGTAGGTGAAATGAGGACCCAGTTTGTGGGGGCAATAAGCTGACTTTGTATAAATATATACAAAAGTATGAAGGCTATTGCTTAACGCATTGTAAGCCGCCCTGAGTCTCCGGAGAAGGGCGGCATATAAATCAAATTAAAAAAAAAAAGGCTGAAAATTTCTCTTGACCATTTTATCCACAATACCAGTGGGACCAGTGAGGGAAAAGTCTGCTATAAAACTCATGGTTTTTTCTTCTTTCTGAGATGCCTCAGAAAGCACCTCAGAAACTCCTGATGTGACATGATAGCAGTATTCCACTCTTTGAGGGGCTGCCGCAAAGAATAGGGGGGGTCAACTTATTCTCCAAAGCACCAGAAGGCAGGATGAGAAACAATGGATGGAAGCTGAACAAGGAGAGAAGCAACCTGGAATTAAGGAGAAACTTCCTAACAGTGAGGACAATTAAGCTTGCCTTCAGAAGTTGTGGGTGCCTCATCATAGAATAGAATAGAATAGAATAGAATAGAATAGAATAGAATAGAATAGAATAGAATTAGAATAGAATAGAATAGAATAGAATAGAATAGAATAGAATAGAATAAGAGAGTTGGAAGGGACCTTGGAGATCTTCTAGTCCAACCCCCTGCCCAGGCAGGAAACCCTACACCATTTCAGACAAATGGTTATCCAACATCTTCTTGAAAATTTCCAGTATTGGAGCATTCAGAACTTCTGCAGGCAAGTTGTCCACTTATTAATTATTCTAACTGTCAGGAAATTTCTCCTTAGTTCTAAATTGCTTCTCTCTTTGATTAGTTTCCACCGATTGCTTCTTGTTCTGCCCTCAGGTGCTTTGAAGAATAGTTTGACTCCCTCTTCTTTGTGGCAACCCCTGAGATATTGGAACACTGCTGTCATGTCTCCCCTAGTCCTTCACTTCATTAAACTAGATATACAAAGTTCCTGCAACCATTCTTCATATGTTTTAGCCTCCAGTCCCCTAATCATCTTTGTTGCTCTTCTCTGCACTCTTTCTAGAGTCTCAACATATTCTTTACATCATGGCCACCAAAACTGAATGCAATATTCCAAGGGTGGCCTTACCAAGGCATTATAAAGTGGCATTAACACTTCACTGTTCATTGGAAGCTTTCAAGAAGAGACTGGACAGTCAATTGTCTGAAAAGGTATATGGTCTCCTGTTTGAGCAAGGGGCTGGACTAGAAGACCTCCAAGATCCCTTCCAGCTTTATTTTATTCTAACGTTCAGTTCCATGACATTATCTATTCTATTCTATTCTATTCTATTCTATTCTATTCTATTCTATTCTGTTCTGTTCTGTTCTGTTCTGTTCTATTCTATTCTATTCTATTCTATTCTATTCTATTCTTAGATTAACTCAGCATACTAAGCTAAAATCAAACGACCTACTTTAAAACACAGGGTGGCAATCTTGAGGCAACATAGGGACAACACCTTTGATGTCCCCTGGATCACACGTTCTTTGTCAACCACATCCTGTGGTTTGTTTTCTTTTTGCCACCATATTTACATGCTAGAAGCCGGTTGCTTCATAATAGGAAAGAGTTGTATAGTCTTTAAGTCTCATTCACAGCAAAGTCGCCCGGGAAGCTCTGAAGGTGACAACGCCATCTTTGAAGTCCTCCAAAGAATTTTGGAGAGTTATTACCTTCATCCTTTACCTGGAAAAAATGTGGCTACGGTCTGTGCTCATCATCATCATCATCATCACTGCACTTTTAAGTAAGTATTTCTTAACAATGTTAGACTACCGGTTTCAGCTGGGCGTATGCTCATTTACTTGAGTTCTTTGAAATATGAGGTACCACAGGACTCCCTGGAAGGTTTCTGACTAGGTGGCTCAAGTGGCTAAGACACTGAGCTTGCCGATCAGAAAGGTCGGCAGTTCGGCGGTTCAAATCCCTAGTATAGGTCTCCTGTGTGAGAAGGGGGTTGGACTAGATGATCTCCAAGGTCCCTCCCAACTCTGTTACTGTGAAATTGGCCAGTAAATTATCTGCAAGGAATTACAAGGGTTTCTTTACAGCAGTTACAAATAAATTTATTAGCTATCATCCTTTTGGAGAGAGCATCCCAATGACCTTCCTTCCATTTTTTTATCCTTTCTACTTACCTAATCCATACATCACTGGTTCATTTGCCGCAAAAAGTCCATAAAGGGTTTCCATTCCCTAATACATGTACTAATTTCTTTTTTTTCCTCCCTTTCTATAGCAATCCAACAATTTAGCCATCTCTGCAAATTTTGTCATCTTCTCCAGCCATTCCTCCTTTGTCCATATTTCAAAATCCTCCCAGCTTTGTATGATTAATAATTATGCTGCAATTAGATGGGAACATTTTTTTTCTAGACATGTCCACTTTGTAGGTATATAAAAAAGAAATCCTTGCTTTTTTCCCTCTCTTCTGCTTTACTGGTTTGTTGCACTTATGTGATTAGTGCAATGTGTATTAGTGTGTATTAGTGTGTGTTTGTGTGTGTGTACCCAGTGTGTTTGTTGTTGGACATGATGAAAAGTATATAAAACTAGGAGATAATTTATTCAAGGTTGTGTTGTTAGATGAAATTCATGTCCAACCCATCACGACCCCATGGACAACGTTCCTCCATGCCTTCCTGTTCTCTACCATCCTCTGGAGTCCATTTAAGCTCACGCCAACTGCTTCAGTGATTCCATCCAGCCACCTCATTCTCTGCCGTCCCCTTCTTCTTTTGCCCTCAGTCTTTCCCAGCATTAGGCTCTTCTCCAATGAGTCCTTCCTTCTCATTAGGTGGCCAAAGTATTTGAGTTTCATCTTCAGAATCTGGCCTTCTATAGAGCAGTCAGGGTTGATCCCCTCTAGGACTGACCGGTTTGATCGCCTTGCAGTCCAAGGGACTCACAGGAGACTTCTCCAGCACCATAGTTCAAGGGCTTCAATTCTTTGGTGCTCAGCCTTCCTTATGGTCCAACTCAATTCAAGGTAGCCCTTGTAATTAGCACAGATGTTAGAAGATGTCCCCAAGTTGCTTTTTCAAGAGGTAACTGGACTTCCTGGTTTTTCTTTGAAGACGTTTTACTTCTCATCCAAGAAACTTCTTCGCTTTTCATCCAAGAAGCTTTTTCAGCTGAAGAAGTTTCCTGGATGAGAAGCGAGAGGTCTTCAAAGAAAAACAAGGAAGTCCAGTTGCCTCTTGAAAAAGCACCTTTGGGACAACCATGACCTGGATGACTGAGAATCTCCATAGATATGTTGGAAGATGGTGAAAAAAATGGGTTGTAATAGCACCAAAGTTATTGATGAAACAAGGGAGAAGGAATTACCTGTCCACCTCTTCAGTTAACCTCATGAATTCTATATTATCTTTTATCCAGGGAGAAGCAGTGGACAATCAGTGGACCAAACATCTGGCATTGTGACTGCTACCGAAGGACAACCTATCTTTTTCTATTGTTCCTATGAAGCACAGACTAGGGCCTCATATTACCCATACTGGTACATTCAGCACTCTGGTCAACCTCTGAAATTTCTTTTGGGATGGCATGAGAACAATGCAGAAGGCTTCCATGCTACTCACCATAAAGACAAGCAAAATGGGACTTTCAATCTGCAGAAAGATGCCAGTCAGCTGAAGGACTCTGCTGCCTACTTCTGTGCCTTCAGTGACACAGTGTGACAAAGAAGAGGAGAAGCCAACAGAAAAGGTACAATGGGGGATGGGGGGGGAAGCAGAGAAGGTAAGCTCAGAAATGAAAGTGTTGGTTGGAGGAGATGATACAACAGCATATTGATCTGAAACCTGAATTATTTTGGGGGGGATTTTACCAGAAACTTATAGTACAGAAAACTTGATAATTCATGTAATAACTTCAGCTAGGATTGTATTCGCACAAAATTGGAAAAATGAAGATATCCCTATGGATGAGAATGTGATTAGGAAAATATTAGAATGTGCAGAAATGAATAGGCTAACACTCAAAATTAAAGAGAAGGAACGATTTGATTATTATACTATATGGGAATTATTTTATCAATGGTTAGAGAATAAATATGAAAAGTGGAAAAGAAGCAGCAGAGTGAAATAGAGAAAATGTTTTGACAAAGTTAAATAAGTTAAGAAGAGGATTGTTATAGTATTAGGTATGGTATATATTAGTATTAATATTAAATTAAGAATAGATAAAAGGATAAATATGGCCGTAAATTGTAATTGTTATCGTATAAAATATTTACACAAAATATATGTACCCAGACGACACGCTGTTTAAGGGAAGACAATATTTGAATGAAAATAAAATAAAAAATTTATTAAAAGAAGAAATGAAATGAAAGTCCCATGAATATAGTTGGATTTACCATCCAGATCAACTTTGCAATGGAACTGGACAATGTAGACAATCACATTAGCCCTTCAGGATATCTTGGACTAGAGCAGTGATGGCTAACCTTTTTGCTATCGCATGCCAAAAGTGGGGGGGAGCGCGGGGTGGGCACACGCACGCATGCCCACATCCATAATTCAATGCGCCTCTTCCCCTCTCATGTGCATGCGACCCCCCCGTGCTCCCCCAGCTTTTGGCACGCGATGACACGGTAGGCCCAGTAGGCCTATTTTTCACCCTTCCCAGGCTCCAGAGCCTTTCTAGGAGCCTGGGGAGGGTGAAAACAGCCTTCCCCACCCCTCAGAGGCTGAAAACAGTCTGTTTGCCAACTTCTGGTGGGCCCGGAAGGCCCAAAAATCAGCTGGTAGAGCTGAGCTCATGTGCCTATTGATATGGCTCACGTGCCACCTGTCGCACGCGTGCCATAGGTTCGCCATCCCAGGACTAGAGGTTTCTCAGTATCTGATATCAAGGGAAAATGACCCTTGATAAGGGGATGGGATAAGAGAAAATGTTATCTAACCATCTGGGACCATTTATCTCCATAGACATGGAGAGAATCCTTTCATGTCATTTCGATGATGGCATTGCGAGTTGTCCATCTGGAAGCACTTTTGAACATTGGGATTCTTCTTTTCGCTTTAGC